AACTGAGGGAGCAGATTCGAGAGGAGTGGCAATAGGTAGCCACCAAACGACCTGCCCATTCTCTCATCTCAGCTGATTAAGTTCCATTCATTGAATTCCAGAAGCTTCTCACACCCTAAAGATAAAAAGCCTGATGTAGCACATTTACTTTCAAGTCATATCCTGGGGCAGTCCAAATGTTTTCCTGGAAAAGCATTCCTATTTCCAATGCTACAGCTGTGGGGATGAGAGCCAGCTCATCTCCGTGGTTTCAGCTCAGGGAAGGGCCTGTGGCAGGCGTGGGCACCTTGTGTTCTCAGTTATGACTCTCCAGCTCACCTGGAGCATCCCAGCAGTGATACCATACAATGGCTTTTCGTCAACCTTCCCTCAAGCCCCAGAACCAAAGCATTAAGTGACTTGCCCTGGGGTCAAACAGCCAGTTAGTTGCAAGGTGGGCACGAGGCTTTGTTGTTACCCAAGACTGCTGTGCAGTCCTTGGCCCCAGAGGCCACCGGCTACTGCACAGGTCGTGGGTTCACAAGCTGACTCAGCTAAGTCGGGGGGTTCCAAACTTCGCCTAACAGCTGATACCAGCACACAGAGCAAGGGCAAATTTCAGAGCTCTCTCTGAAGTCCTCTAATCAAAGATAAATATTCTTTTTCAGATTAAAAGAGCAAGACATTCCCAAACCACCTTTTATGTAATGACATCATTATTATCAGACATAAAATTGAAAAGTTATATGTTCACTGCCTTTTGTTTTCCCTCGAATTTTCTCTATTATTTAATTGCAGTGTCATCTCCCCTTTTTTTACCCTCTCTCCAGAAAGAGTTAGACAATCATTTGATTTTTATTATTTTAGAGAAGTTTCATTTTCTATTATAGAACTTTTTACTTGAATTTCATTTTTTTTTCCCCTCTCTTTCTAGTTCCAAATATACCCACCGAGGGTGCTAGAGTAGTGTTCCGCGTCTTCCCTTTGTGCCTGGGTCTAGTTCTGGGATGCTAGGCTGAGTCCCTGGTGTTAGTTACTGCATCCAAGTCTTACAAGCCACCAGGGAGGGTTGCTTTAACTGCCCCCTGAGATATGTTTGTTTTTCCGTTAAGGAGGATCCTTGTGATATTTCCCTTCTTCTTAGGGGTCCAGATTTTGAACAATAGGACTAAAACTCTAGGGAATTCTGGGAAAGAGCTGTTCTCAGTGATTCTTAAGTAGATCATCAGGGGCATCTTAATTTTCCATAATTCGTCAATACACTGATTGAAAGAAGAGAAAAACCTTTAGAACATATGGCTGCTGCTGCTTTTTTTTTCTTTCTTTTTTGGTGGTGGTGGGGAGAAAGGTATGGCAGTATGCAGGAGTGTCATTTTTCAAGTGAATTTTCCAGGGCATGCACCCTGGAAACTGAGGCTAGTGCTGAAAGCAATCTGGAACCCAGCATTTCCCGGGGTGCACAGGGCTACACCCTGATACCTTTGAGAATCTAAAGTCTGTGGCCTGTCTCTCCAGTTAGGTCATGAGGTCAGCTCAGCCCCACTGAACATTTAATCTAAGGAAAGATGGTCTTTGTTCTCTGGAATTCTCTTCCTCCCAGAATCACACAGGACTGGTCTCTTAGATCTTCAAAGCTGCTGTCCCATCTCTTAAGATAACTAACAATGCTCAGCATGGGCTGCAGTGAGTACTTTTGCTTTTAAATCTCCTTGGATGTTACAGCATGCCGCTGAGAGGACCTTCCCTGACACAGGCCCAGCAAACACCTGAAGCACTTGCCCTGTGCCACACTCCAGGGCACTTCACACACATCCAGTCACCTGAGAGCCCCCGACCCTAGAGGTGGATACCGTTGGTAACACCCCCATTGCAGGACATAGGGGTTTGGTGAGTGTTAGGGCTAGCAGCAGCTCCTCAGCTGTGAAGTTGGGAATGGCCCCCAGGTGGCCTGCCTTCAGAGCGTGGGCTGGCAACCATTATGCTGTACTGCCTTTTAGGAAGGGCCCTCTGCACATGTGCTCAGCACCTCGGCACTGCATTCAAAGTAGGGTACCTTCAGGAAAGGCAACCTGAACAACAGCGAGGGCCGCCCACGGTTTCACATGCAAGCATTTGTGTTTACATTGGGTCCTGAGCCCAGGCTGCCCAGTGGGATTTATGCTTCCTTTTCTCCTTTGGACATCTGATCATATTGCTTCTTCCTTGTTCTGGGCTCGGGCTCCTGCTCTTCAGAGCAAAGCAGCAGAGGAGGAGGGCGAGGGGGTTCACCTTTCTAGTAACCAGGCTCCCAACACAACACCCTGTTAGTCATAGCTAAGAGCAAGGAGAAAGCACAACCAGAAGACTCAAATACCAAAACTTAGGAGCATCCGCCCTACTGACTTATAGACTGATCCTGGGAACTTTAGTGTAGTGAGCAAGTGTCTGGGTTCAAATCCCATGTCTGCCACTTATAGAGAGACCTTGGGTGAGTTGTTTAAACTCTTTGTGCCTGTTTTCCCATCTGTAAAATGGGGGTAGTAACAGTTATCATAGGTGTGTTTTCCTATGAGGCTCAGAGCAATTAAACACACAAATTGGCACACAGGAAGTACTCATTCAATAATTATTCTCTTTGCTAACCATCTATAGCTGTTTCTGCTACAAAGCTTTTCAAGTTACAATGAGCAGCCCCTGTTACTGGAATGCCCTATCCCTGGAAAGAGTCCTTAATACAAATAGGCAATGACAACGAATTCTTGGGCATGGCACACAAATAGGGGAGGAGCTGAACTTGCCACAATTGAGAAAGATATTTTAATGAATATAGTTAAGGATCAAGAAATTATTTTATGAGTAACAGTGATTAAAGCCAGTGGGCAGTAAGAAGTTAGTAAGTAGATCCTTTGTTGAGCATCACAAATTGCATGTCTGTTGAATAATACTATTAATAGGTCTCTAGTAAAACAACTCAGAAGTATTTTATCTGTTAGATTTAAAATCTAAAGCCCAGGGACATGAAATAAATTGACAAGTGGTTCCCATTGTCTCCCAACACAATACTCTAGGTCAGTGGTTCCAAAACTAGGTCATCAAGTGGGAATGCGGACTCCTAGGCTCCATCCCAGGAAGTCTGATCAGAAGGTCTATGGACCAGAAGTCTGAATTTTTAACCAGCCTTTCCAGGTGAGTGTAGTGGGTCTAAAGACTGCACTCTGAGAAGCACTTGCTAGGCAATAAATGCTCTTGGTCCCATCCAAGGATCAGAGAGCAAAGAGACTCGGGTGAGTTTGCAGCATCTAAGAGCTTTGTGAGGAAGGCAGAGAGGTGTATACGTGTGACAGGGCACTGGCCTTTGTAAGAAGCTGGGAATATTCTCTTCCTGTTCAAAGTGTGGAAACCAGGGCTCTCGATTTGTGAAACTGGGTAGAGCTGCATTTAGAACCCAGGTACTGTGACATGAAGCCCTTTCTACCAATTTTAGAACCAGTCCTAGATAAGATTCCTGAAACGCTCACCATCCTCAGGAAGGAAAGTACTGATATCACAGCAGTGATTCTAGGGGACAAAGGGGTATGGGAGACAGAACAGCCATCACACCCACGCTCAACAGGATTCAGTGCTTTCCTCTCTAGAAACCTCGGCCTTCTTTTGGGTGTATGCGCTTTGCTCTGGCTTATAAATATGAGCCAAGTCCTATAATGTCATATGTGCATAACGACCCATAAGGGTCAGATACCCAGGTTCTGATCTTCTTATATCAGGACATGTAGAAACCAAGATTAGACCTGAGTTTTAAGAAAACTTTGGCCTGGAATGTTCCAGTCACAGTCTCTGACTTCCTTTCTGACTCCCCAACCCCTAAACTGGAGCAGAAGGCAGCACAAAAGGAAGGCTAAAGGTTCTTTTCCAAGCTAGGGTAGTTCTTCCTGGCTCACAGACTTTAAAAATCTCTGTTTTACACGACAACAGAACAATATGAAAACAAGAGAATTTAAATCAAACCGCAAATACAGCTTCTCACTGTCCCTGTGTGTGCCCTCTCCCCAGAGTGGGAACCCGGCGGGGAGGAGGAATTCCCAGCAGGAGTCACCTGGGGAGTCAGGTATGACAGAAATCACATTCCAGCACAGTTCAGAGGGGATGGAGTCCTAGGAAGCCCCCTCGATTTTCAGTCCCAGTTGAAACATTTGTATCAACTAGAGAGACACACCAAACCTGCGGCAGTTTAGCCATGCTACCTAAAGCTCAGTAGAAGTGGCTCCTATTATTTAAGCACAATGATAAAATCCTGTAGTGCCATCGCCAGTGCAGTGACAATACTGACAGCTGCCTGGAATGGCAGGGCATCTGGGGCGGGGGGCATGCAGTAAAAGGGTCACAGGTTGGAGACTGAGCAGCTCCCACCTTGGCTCTTCCTGGGCTAAACCAGGTGTTGGCAGAAAACCGAGAGTCCAGCTGCTGTCCCCTCCATCACAAAGGTTAAGATGAAGTACAACGTTGCCTGTTGCCCTCACTCCGCCCATTTCCCCAAAAGAAAAAAACTCTCTGCCAAGGACAGTGCAGAACCTAGACACCAGCTTCCGAGTTCCACAGAAACGTTTCCCCCCAGTGCCCTGGCGCCCCACTGCCATGGGGCTGACAGCCTGCCCTGGCTTCGCCTAAACTTAGGAAAAGAATGCCGCAGGCTACGTTTTAAATTATTGGCTCCCCAGGAAGGGCCGACGACNCTTAGGAAAAGAATGCCGCAGGCTACGTTTTAAATTATTGGCTCCCCAGGAAGGGCCTACGACTGTGGCCCACAGACTGATGGTGGGGGGAGCCCAAGGGAAGGCAAACCGGAGAAGTTCCTAGGGGTAAGCGAGCTTTCTCAGAACACACACACACACACACACACACACACACACGCACAACCGCGCGCGCGCGCGCGCGCCCGTGCGCTCAGGTGAGCGCCCTGGAGCTGCCCTCGGGCAAGGCCTCTCCGCGTCCCAACCACTCTCCCGCGCGCGAATCGGAGCCCGTGTCCGGGCGCCAGGACTTACCGCCAGGACGCTCTGGGCCAGGAGCCCCACTGTCACGGCGCCCAGCAGCAGCCACCTGGACGGGAGAGGGAGGAAAAGCGCCATGAGCGTGCGGCCCCCCTCGGCCAATTCCTGAAAGTTGCCCGGGGACAAGGCAGAAAGTCGCTTACCGCCGCGGGGCCGGGCCCGGCGCCGTGCACTGGTCTCGGTCCATGATCCCGATGCAGTCCCCCTGGGCTCGGGCCGGTCCCTCCTAGCACGGAAGACGAGACAAAGCGGGCTGAGCAGGGGTTGGGGAGGGAAGCATCCTAGGCGCCGCCGCCTCCGTCTGGGGATGCGGGAGAGCGGGGTGCGCCCACCTCCTCTTCGCAGGGGTGACGGAGAGCCGCCCCACTACGAGACAGAAGAAAGAGGGGCCCTCCCATGTAGGCCCTAGTTGGTGCAGCTTAGCCGCGGCCGCTCGATCCCCATCCTGCCCTCCAATTCCTAACGGCCTGCGCAGGGCGCCCCAAGTCCGCGCCCTCGGCCTGGGTCTCCCAGTTCCGGGACTGCTCTCACCTTGGGCCCGGCTTCCGCCCCTCAGAAGCGCCGGCGGGGGCACAGCGGCAACGCGTCAGCCCTCTCGCGCTCCCGGGCGCCGGCCTTCGGGCCAGTGCGGCCGCCCTCCGTGCAGCCC